ATGGATGCATATCGAGGCCATACTTTTCAGTGAAATAAATAGGACACATATGTGTAAATACCGAATAGTTTCACTAGTGTGAGAAACTGATAGTGTAAACAAGGGTTAAAATGATTTAAATGAATAATTGATAATTTGAAATAGGAAAAAAGGCCCAAAGACGAAGGAGTGAAGGGAGAGGAAGGGGAAAGGAAAAGAGGGAAAGGAAAAACTATGAGAAAAGAAAAAAAAAATGGAAATGAAATCTATTTAAATAGGGAAGGGCAGAGGGAGAGAGGGTACACAGGTAATGGGGGGAAAAAAATAAGAACCAAGATATATCATGTACAGGTACACCCAATGATAAATGTAAACGAATTGTATACCTAAAATGTACCAATAAAAGAACAACAACAACAACAAAAGAATCTCCAGGATATTTAAAGTAGTTATAAGGCCAAAGAAAAGATTTTATCAAAATCTGGTCCTGTGTGCCTTGCTTTACCAAATACTTGACTTTTCTGGAGATATTTCTATAATTCACAACATTAGAACACATGAACAAAACTGGGACGTTTCAAGATTAACTACAATTATTTTTTTGGTTTCAAGATTTGCTCTTTAAATCTATTACCTAAAAATTGAAAATAGGTACAATATAAAAGCATTAGTGAGTAGTACTCATTAAATTAATTGTGGCACCTTTGCACCATCATTCAACTTTTTAAAACTTTTTAATAGTTGTATATAATTGTCATTTTGTTGTTTCATTTCTTACCATGTAATTTACTGTAATTTAAAAATTAATTTTTGAATGATTTGAATTCTGAATTTTTCTATGTCTGTATTTCATTTGTTTAGAAGGAGATTCTTTTGGGTTTAAGAACGAGATTTGTATATTTAAATTTTTTATGGATATGATTCAAAGGAAGGTATAAACTGGTCTTTTATAAACTCACTTTTTAAAAAAAATTAATTTTATTGGTACATTTTAGGTATACAATATAATGACATTCATCATTGGAAATTTGTTCTTTTATGTAATCTATCTTGGTTCTTATTTTTTTCCCCATTCCCCTGCCCTCCCTTCAACCCCTCCACCCCTCCCTGTTTACAAAGATTTTGTTTCCACTTTTTCATTTTCTCATATTAATTCCATTCCCTTCTTTCCTTTTCCCTACCCCTCTCACTTCCCCTTTCCCTTTGCCCCTTTTCTTCCTATTTCGCATTATCTTTTATACCTTTTAGTCCTTATTTACACTTTCAGTTTCTCATACCAGAGAAACTATTCGGTATTTACACATGTGCCCTATTTATCTCACTTAAGCGTATAGCCTCAGTGTGCATCCATTTAGCTATAAATGTCTAATTTCTCATTCTTTATGGCTGAGTAGTACTCCATTTTATTTTTTATTTTTAAACACATTTTCTTTATCCAGTCTCCAGTTAATGGGCAGTTGGGCTGTTTCCAAGTTTTAGCTATTACAAACTATGCTGCTATGACCGTGGGTGTACATATATCACTGTGATATGATTCTTTTAATTCTTTTTTTTTGGTACTGGTGATCGAACTTGGGACCTTGAGTTTGCGAGGCAGGCAGCGGAACCACTGAGCTAAATCCCCAGCCCGACCTTTAATTCTTTTGGGAAGATACCCAGCAGGGGAATACCTGGGTCAAATGGGACCACTAATCCTAGTTCTCTTTTTTGGTACCAGGGATCGAACTCTGGTCCTTGCGCTTATGCAGCAGCTGGCAAAACCACTGAGCTAAATCCCCAGCCCTAATCATAGTTCTTTAAGGTATCTCCATACTGATTTCCACGGTGGTTGCACCAGTCTACACTCCCACCAGCAGTGGAGCAGGGTTCTTTTTTCCCCATAGCCCCGCCAGCATTTCTTACTGGTTGATTTCTTGATAGCAGCCATTCTTTCTGGGGTGATGTGGAGTCTCAGCATTGTTTTCATTTGCATCTCTCAAATGACCAGTGGTGTATAAACTCGCTTTTTAATTGATACATTGCTCTTGTCATCTTTTGATATCCATTATCTCTTTAATGCATTATTGAAGTAGGAGAAAAAGAGCCAGTAGTCCATCTCAAGTCTTCTATCTTTAGACTTTCAAGTTCTTAACCTCTTTACTATGCTCCCTTACTATAAGGAGTTGCATTGATATAGTTTATAGTAGTCTTCATTTGAGATTCTACTTCCTGTTTGTAGTATCCAGCCCCTGTCCAAAGTAATGTAATTATGAGTAGCAGTTGATCAGTTAATTCCATGTTTATAAAATCCATTTGCAACAGGCACAAAATGTATCAATGAATTGAATAAGCGGTGTTTGCTTCCTTCAAGAAAAGAATAGCCCATAGGTGTAATCCTTGACCTGATCCATTGTATGAGTAACATGAGGAATATAACTTCTTTCTCTTTTCTGTTTGTTCTTCCAGAATATATAAATAATATAAGCTATTTTGGACAAACAGCAATACAGAAAGGGGGGAATCACATAATTCTACAACCTTAAGACAACCTCTGTTAACATTTTGATACATTTATATTGAATCATTTTTCTATAAAACTAGTTAGTGGCTTTTTTCCTAATTACAAAACAAATATTCATGCTTCCATAGAAAATTTGTAAAATAATTTTACTTAAAAGGCAAAATTGCCTATAATCACAATAAATGTTATTTTGGAGTATATCTCCTTTATCTTTTTCAAATGAATACAGTATGTTATATAACTTTGTGTGCAGCTTTTGTTCTCTTTTTAACATTATGTTGAGAGTTTTTATTTCATTTTTTTGTAAAAAAATATGTACTTAAAGGGCCGGGGATTTAGCTCAGTGGTTCAACCACCTGCTTCTCAAGTGCAAGATCCAGAGTTCAAAAAAAAAAAAAAGTACTTAAGGTTTTCCACATAATTTGAAGTCTTATTATACATATAATTTAACACCTTTTAACAAACATAGCAAATATTGTTCTTTACACTATAAGCTTTTAGTGAGCATCATTTTAATGGCTTCACATTATACCAGTCTATGGATGGTGTAATTGGCTTATTAATTCTTGACTATTGTACTTCTGGTTATCTGTAATTACTATTTTTAAGTGTTCATATTTGTGTATAAGCTTTTCATGTATTATTTATTATTTCTTCAGTATAAATTCCCAGAAATGGATTACTAGGTCAAGAAATATGAATATCTAAAGTTTTTTATATTAACTACCAAATTTCCTATCCAAAGGTATGTTGCTGGTATATAGTCTCAGCTTCATTTATATAACAGACTTGTTTCTCCGTAGCTTTGATAGTATCAGGTATTTTAAGTTATATAACTTTTTAAATTTCATTTTTATATTTAATAGTAAGTTGAACATTTTGAGTAAAGAGCTATTCATAATAAAAAAAAATAAGGGCCGGGGATTTAGCTCAGTGGTTCCACTGCCTGCCTCAAAAGTGCAAGGTCCTGAGTTTGATACCTGGTACCAAAAGAAAAAAAAATCTTCCAACTTCTTTTTGATTTCCAAAACTTATAATCTTCCCTGAGGATGTAGTAAAACTCAGAAGGAATAACGTATGACAGAATATGGGACTCTACTTAGAGTTGCTTCAGGAAAATAATTAAACTTTGTCCTTCATAAAGCAAAATTACTTTTATAGCCATCATTGGTTGTCACTTCAATTAAAATCCTTTGTGATTCTTCTTTAATTTAACCTAAGCTTTTTCTTTTTCCCTCAGCCAGAAGTTATTGGCTCTGCATTACTTCCCTTGCGAGCTGTCATTCAGTCAGAGCTGCTTTCTTTCACTGACCAACTCCCAGTCCAACAGGAAAATGGTCAGACTCCATTTGGCCCCCTGAAGGTACATACATATTTATTCAGAAAAGTAGAAGTATTTTCTGAGCATGTATTTATTGCCTTACACTAAGAATATAGTGAACAAGAAAAGCAAGGTCTGCTATTGGTAGGCTTCTATTGAAATAGGGTAGTAAAAGTGCTATGAAGGAAATAAATGATATGATATGATAATGAGTGCCTGGAAGGAAGTGAAAGATGGTAGTCAGGTAAGCCCTCACTAAGAAGGTGACATTTAAGATTTGAAGAATAAGAGAAAGTAAACATTGGGAAAGTCATTATAGAGAGAAGAAATAACAAAAAAAGGTGGGGGGGCCTGAAGCCGAAATAGGTTTTGTGTTGCCAAGAGACCAGACATTACCAGAGCATAGTAAGAAAGTAGGAAGTGAAAGAAAGTAGGATTAGACAGGCAAGTAGGAGCCATATCAGAGATTTGTAGTTAAGAAAGGTAAGGACTTAGATTTTAAGTTAATAGCAAAGAAAGGACATTGAAGCATGAGAGGGATCTGATTTACATTTTTTAAATATTTCTGTGTGTGCATAGACTGGAAGAGGGCAAGAGGGAGTATGGGGAGGATATTGCATTAGTCCCAAAAAGAGAAGATTATGACTTGGACTAGAGTTGTCGTGAACAAGGAGAGAAGCAACTGTGTGCCTTGTGAAGTGAATTCTTATGTGTAATTCATTGGAGAAAAGATTCTTTCCTTGTATTCAGAGCACTAGGATTTCTTGGGTGGCAGAATTTGAATGTATGGCTTCAGTACAACTTCGTTAGATGTCCTAGTGGGTTTTTTAAAATCTTTCTAATCATGGCTAAAAAATCCCTATGTCTCCCCAGTCACTCAAAGGTTAAAGGTACAAGGCTCACCATATAACCCCTGCCTGCTACTTCAGCCTTCTCTACCAATAGCCATGTCAGACTATATGAAAATCATAAGACATCATACTGGCTTATGTCTCCCATGTTTTTCTGTTTTATATTTATGCTGCTTCCTCTTTTTGAAAGCCTTCTCTTTCTTTTCTTCCTGGTCTTCCTAGTAAATACCACTTACCTTTAAAGAATTATTGCCAAAAAAAAATACATTACTCTTCTGCCGTCCAAGTTTTATTTTTGCCTCCTGGGTTCATTCTGGCAACAGGGTTTAAAATCTGAAAGGGGTAATAAAGAAAATTGATGGACTTAGATAAGAAAGTACTATACTAGATTGACTTCTGCCTGTATTTCATTGGCAAAAGAAGGTTCCTGTATAACATCTATGGGTTTCAAATAAAAGGAACAGTAAGAACCCTTTTATCCCTAGTAATTCGTTCTTCTGACAGTTAGCAGCCACTTCTGTTCTGCATATTTATCCCAGATCCTTTTTCTTTTTTACTTTTTAACATTTTAACTTTTATTTTGAAATGACTTCAAACTTACAGAAGTATTGCAACTACAGTAGTCAAGAGCTCCCATAGCCATTACCTAGACTCTCCAATTCTTCATATTTATCACATTTGCTTTATAATTCTCTATGTTGCTTTATCCCTTCTTTCCCTATATAACACATATGTAATATTTATACACACTCATAAACACATACACACACTTGTTCTAAACTATATGAGAATAAGTTACAGGCATTATGACCATTTTCCCTTTAATGTATTTTCTAAGAAGAAGAACATGATTGTGCATAGTACTCTGTATCTATACAAATCAATTTAACATTGATAATATATTCTACCAATAGCCCATACATTTTTCCAGGGTAGCCAGTACTTTCCTTTATGGTAATTTTTTCCAGTCCATTTACATTTAGTCATCATTTCTTTCTAATCTCTCTTAGTCTAGAACAGTTCCATAGCCCTTTTGTCATTTTAGTACATTAATAATTTTTAAAAGTAAGCCAGTTATTTTTGTAGAATATCCTGCTACTAGAGTTACCTGAATCACATATTATTAAAATAATTATAAAATGGTGATTTCTAACTCTGTTGGTGTTCTTCCTGATTTGGTGTTTAAGGATAAGTTAATTCATTTCCTAATAGTCTGACATTACCTCCAGCTCCAAAATTCTGATTCCAGTTCTACAGGACATTCTCATTGACTCTTCTCCTTTTGTGTTTTATAGGTAACAATGGAACTTGTTAGAGATAACAAGAATTTCACAGGTGTTAATACTAAATTAACTAGCAGCACCCAACATACCCCACTTGGTGTTGCTACAAGTCCAGAGAAGAAACTACAAGAATCCAACCAAGATACTACCCGTACCAGAAATCCACAGAACCTAAATCAAATTCATGAGGAAAATACAAAAAAAGCACAGAATTTGGTGCTTCCCAACCCCAAGTCACCAAGCTCTGTAGCAACAAATTCTTCAGCCTTCATGCCAGCATCCCACAATTTAGTAAATCAGACAAATGAGTCAACAAAAGAAAATGCCTTGCTATTGCATGTGCTGTTGATGGTGCCAGATGGAAAAGACTTCATTACTGGAGAATCTGAGCCACCATGCAATGTTTATTTAATTTGCAAATTCTTCAGCACAGAGGAAGTTACCAGATCTGTCATTGCATGGAGTACAACACAACCAGTCTTTAACTTTTCTCAGGTAACTTTGTACATTCCATATCAGTTAGAAGTATATGAGGACAGGAAACAAAATGTTTCCCAAATCATAATTCTATCTTAAATCTAGAACATTCAAACTGGAAGGTAACCTTGTAATTACCTGGTATGCTCTACTAGATGAAAAAGGAAAAGACTTTGCCAACATTTTAAAACATTTTTTCTCTATTTCTTCTCTTCTTTCTCAGTTTGTATAGTTTCCCACTATTTCCTTTGCCTGAGTTCTGGATTCTATCTGGATTCCTTTCTGCCTCCTTTAGAACTTTGATCAGTTAAACTTCCCCAACTTTCCTCCAGTCTTTTTTTATTTATATATTTTTCCTGTCCCTCAGTTTCCCTCTTTATTTCAAGTCCTGACTTAGCAGCTGATTGTTTTAAGTTGTCAGACCAGGAGAAAACCAAGGAAAGGTTGGTGATGCCAGCCCTTTTCCTTTGTCATAACCATTTGGTGTTCCCATGTAGTACGCTTGCTGGCACTCTTCAAATTAACCCCCTTTTCCCTATGATCATCACATCTATTTCTACAGCTTCAGCTTTCATTTTTATGAAGATAACTTCCAGATCTGCATTTCTGTATAACCATACATTTCACACCTCTGTATCTGACTGCCTGCTAGTCACCACCCACTGAATGCCTCAAAAGACTACACTTAGCCTTAACATGTTGCCTGGCGTGTACCAGGTATTAAGTAAGAATGTGTAAATGAAAGAAGGAATTCAGATGTGTCCAAATCTGAATTTATTATTGCTTCCAAATCTGTTCTTTTTGTCTACCTTAATTTGTTTTATAATTTACTCAGAAATTTAAATAGAACCTGAAAGTTGTCCATGACTCTTAGTAATTACTGACCAAGTCCAATAGATGCTACAAACTTAACTATCTCTAGAATGCATCCCCTTCCATTACATTGCCACTGATTCCATTCAAGCCTTCACACTCATTCCAAATAGTCTGCAGATTGTTCTACCTATTTCTGACCTCTCTCTATCCATTCCTTCCTGTATGTACCACTAAGAATGAGCTTTCTAAAACACTAACCTGAATATTTTATTCCCCTGCGAAAGCTTTTCAGTGATTCCCTAAAGCCTTCAGGATACACTTTCAATCCTTAGTGTAGTCTCCAAGACCCTTTAAGAACTGAGTGCATCCACTTCTCCCATCTAAACTCCACCATTCTTCTCCACACTTGGATAGTCCACCTGTGCTTAGCTACTCGGCATTTCCTGACTGTTCTCTTCTCCAACCTTTATAATTTTTACATGTACTGTTCTCTAAATTTTTTTTTCTCAATCTGTATGATACCTCTTAAGCAGAGCATTTTGTTCTAGGTAGTTCCTGCTCAGCATTAACATTTAGGATTACTTTCTTTCTCCCCTAAGCTTTCTCTTAAACTTCCTATTTAGACTAGGTTGCTGTGTTTTACGTCTGGTTTTCAGAACAGAATTACATAATCCTTAAGTAATTAGAATTTCTTAGATGAATACAAAAGTAGCTCTGCTCTGGTTCTCTCCACTTCTAGTATCTTTCTTTCATCATGCTTTATTTATATTTTCTTTGGTGCTGGGGATTGAACATAGGACCTTACACATGCAAAGAACACACCCTACCCCATCATCAGACTTTATACTTTTTCTGGTTTCACTCTTTTTGCCTCTTATGGTTTTCATTGGTTTCATCATTGCAGATTATTTCAATTCCATTATTATAGTTATTACTATAGGTTGGGTTCCTTCAAATTACAGGTCCCTTGATTGTGCTATTAATCTTTTCTTTTCTTTTTTTTTTGTTGTTGTTTGTTTGTTTTTTTGATTGGTCTCCCTATGTAATTCAGTTCCTTCTTTTTTTTTTTCTTTTTTTTTTTGGTACCGGGGATCAACTCGGGACCTTGCGCTTGCGAGGCAGGTGCCAGAACGGCTGAGTTAAATCCCCGGCCCTTCGCTATGTAATTCAGGCTGGCCTTGAACTCACTATGTAGCCCAGGCTGGCCTCAAACTTTTAGCAATCCTCCTGCCCCAACCTCCCGAGTACTAGGATTACAGGCGTGCAGCACTACACCCAGTTTGTGCTATTAATTTGACAGAGCTACCCTTTCCTCTAGATCTCTGACTTTTTATGACTTATATTTTCTCTTTCAAGAACCAACTGGTCAGTTCTTGAATAATTTTACATTGCAAATCCAGATGAACAGTTGCCCCTACTATTTTCCATGAGACCTGTTGGGCAGAGCTTTTTGCACTAGGCCATTTCATTTGAATACAGGTTTGTTTCTGGCCTATATGTGTTACTCTAACAACAGATTGCTTACTCTCTAACAATTTCTGTTGAGAGCACAAAATTAATTTAATTTTAATGTCTTGGCTCCTAACACTGTACATGCACAGTAAATATTTGTTGAGTAAAAATAGAAATTGATCCTTTCTCTCAGATGTGGACTTTTTTTGTTGGTGTTTTTCTCCACAGGTGATTCCTGTCTCTCTGTCTTCCAAATATCTGGAAAGGCTTAAAAACAATGTGATGATAATTGAAACTTGGAACAAGGTGCGGAGCCCAGGACAGGACAAGCTGCTCGGGCTGGTGAAACTCCCTCTCCATCAATTTTACATGTCATTCAAGTAAATAGGATCTTTTGGAGTATTCTTTACTTTGTATCTTTGTCTTTGTGTGGACTGAAAAGGAATTCTTTTGGTTTTCAAATATGAATAGCTCAACAGTCCCTTGGAGGACTCTCTGGGGTTCACCGCTGTTTTCTTTCTCCTGTTGTAGAACAGCAGTACAGAAACTGCTTACCATATTTTAGGCACTTGTGCTCAGGGCCTCTCATACATCAAGTCATTTAATATTCATAAAAACCTCTGAGACAGGTCCTTTTATTTCCCCTGTTGTACAAATGAGTTAACAGAGACTCAAACAAGTTAAATTACTTGTCACAAATGTCCTAAGAGTAGAACCAGGTTTAGTACCTGGATCGCCTCACTGAGGAGTCCATTCTCTACCAAAAAAGCTCTACTGTCAAAAGGTACCATCACACTAAACTAACACTTTACCTCTCTGTCATGAAATGTCACTATGGTTCATTATCCATTATTTGCAAAATTTCTGTAATCAATACTATGTTTCAGACCTTTAGATTTGATTATTGTACCTCACTTTTAGCACTTGTCTGGAGTATGAATTAACCTGAAGTTTATTTCTATGCTTAGTGCAACTGTTCATTTTTTGTTTTGATTCAAAGTGCAAATATTTAATTACTTTATAACTCATCTCTTCCCTAGAAGCTTTTTTATGGTTCTGTTTTAAATGTTGGGCTTTTGTAGCCATTATCTCATTTGAGCTTTCCTATAAGTTATGAAGTATTATCATTCCCCCTGTTCTACAAATGAGAAAATCTGGCCTTTCACTTAGAAAAGTCACTTAACCTCTCCGGTTTTCTTTTCCTTAACTGTAAAATGAGGGTGATAATAGATCCCCTGTGTCTTTTTTGGAACAATTCCAAGGATCCGGTTATAAAATACATGGGTTCACCTTCTGTGAGTAGTTAAGTACTTATGATGGTAACATTAGAAAACAGGCAGGTTGAGAAATAATGCTGAAATCATGGATGTTTGCTATAGGCTTTTTCTATTTTTTTTAAATAGTTGTGATATTAGTCTGGTCTGGCATTCCCTTTCCTCCACTTCCTGTTTCATTCTTTCTGAAGGAGTATAAAATAATAGTGGCTACCAATTACTGAACATTTACCCTTGTACCAAGCAACATAATTGGTATTTTATATTTGTTATCATTCTGTAGTCCCTACAGCCTGTGATGAAAATTTAATTACTTACATTTTAAAAGGAGGAATCAGACTCAGAAAAGTCAAATTGATTGCTTAAGTAATCTTGCAAGTAAGTGGGAGAGCTAATGCAATATAATGAAGAACATTTGAGCTTTAGAATCAAATACAGTAGCTCAAACCCTAAATCCTAGCTCAACTTCCTACTACCTGTGTGTCCTTAACTAAGTTACTTAACCTTTCTGAATTGAGCTTTTCTTATCTGTTAACAATGGATAATACCAACTTTTGCAGCGTTAAGTGGAGTAGAAACACTATAAAGTACCTACCACATAGTATGTGCTCAGTAGATGGCAGACATCATTGGTAATATTATCCAAATCTTATCGGCTAGACTAAAGTCCACATGCTTCTTAGTTGACTACACTGCCTCCATCTAAAATAATACAATTCACACTTGAGAGGCAAAGTCAAAAAGTTTGTGTCCAGGCTAACCTATGTGCAAGACCCTGTTTCTAAATGAATGAATAAATAAATGAATGGCAATTCAGCAAGGCTCAACTGAGATACTTGCTTTGTCACAGACCCTAGGCTTGGGGTCATGGTAGTACAGAGATACATCAGACACATTTCCCAGCCCTGAAATTGTTGCATTTTGAACTTAAACTGCCTAATAATTTTAGTTTGATTACTGACAGAATCACATTTTTTAAAACCAAAATTACTTTTGTAGTTGTAGATCCATTTTGACAAACTGAGGGAAAAAAGCCATGTAAGAAATGTAGCAACTCTTGGGCAGGGGATGTAGCTCAGTGGCACCGTGCCTCCCAGGCAAGCGCAAGGTACTGAGTTCGATCCCCAGTACCATTAAAAAAAAAAAAAGAAATATAGCAACTCTTGACATGATTAATTGTAGTTATTTGTTCATTCACAATTTCTTCTTCTCTAGAGATCCAAAGATTTCTCGCCTGCTGCTTGATGCCAGGTACCCAGTTGTTGCTGTGGACAGCTACATGCCTGTGATTGATGTATTCTCAGGACACCAAAATGGGAGTCTTCGAGTGTTTTTAGCCATGGGTTCTTCAGATCAGATAATAGCACTGCAAAGATTAAAGAATGAAGAAGGAACACTCCCTCCCTCTGGTCCTAGGCCAGCCCATTTCCTGGATCAGCCATCTGTAGCATCTGTGGCTATGGTAATGACTCCACACTGTTTCTTTCATAGAAAACTAAAATCCCATTTTCTGTTCAACATTTAAGTGAAACTGTTACCCCAAATCCTTATTTCAGTAATGGAAGGCTCAACAAGAGAACTTAACTTTCACTCCAGTGCTTGCTTTAAAATCAGAAGAATCGTTACTTTTTTTTTTTCTTATGGTTTAAATGGTTCTCTGTGTTCCTCTCAGCTCTCAGAATTTATAAGGAAAATCTGACTGAACAACCAGATCTTAATTTTCTAATGTACTAATTGAATTGCCTTTTAAAAAAAATTGTGGAGCTGGGGATTTAGCTCAGTGGTTCCACCGCCTGCCTTGAAAGCACAAGGCCCCAAGTTTGATCCCAGGTACCAAAAAAAAAAAAAAAAACTTTGGGAGAAGGGGGTGATCCCAAACGTTAGTCAGCAAAATCTCACTCTATTGGCGAAATCCATGTTAAAAGTTACAATTAAGTGAGAACACGCCAAATCAGCCCGCTGCAGACAGACAGGTCTGCCCACGCCCTACCGAGGTCCCCAGTCAAGCAGAATATGCCAAATCAGCCCACTGCACACAGGAAGGTCTGTGCACGCCCTACCGAGGTCCTGAGTCGCATGGAAGACACAGAATCACCCCGCTGCAGACAGGCAGCCACCTGCTTCCACACTACAAAGACGCAGAGGACACCAGACCACCAGACCAAGGTATTGAGTCCCGCTGTTCTCGGCCCAGAGGTAAGGGCTCCTGAGCCGTCTTCCCACTGCTCCTGGTCCAGAGGAAGGGACTTCCCGGTCAACATCCCTCCTGCTGCTCCCAGCCCAGAGGAAAGGGCTTTTGGGCCACCTTCTGTCCCACTGCTCCTGGCCCAGAGGAAGGGGCTTCCAGGCCACCATCCCTCCCACCGCTCCCAGCCCAGAGGGAGGGGCTTCTGAGCCACCATCCC